CAATGGCTTTTCCTGCCCTGTTCAACGATGCTTTCACACAGCGAGGGTTAATCCGGAACGGATTAACCTCGCTGTGCGAGGCACCACTGTAAATATATATAATCTTTAAAATACACTGTTTATGTTCCATTGTACAGTGGTGGCTCGCTTTAACGAGCGCACCATTTAACGACGAATCCGCATAGCGACGCATTTTTTGCAATCGCTAATGCGATCGCATTGCAATGTTTTAGGTGGCAAAACATCGCATTGCGATGACCGGTAAGCGTTTCGCTTACCGATCTTCGCATTGCGATGTTTAGAAAACAGCTGATTGGTGGTTCCAAAATAGCCGCCCACAGCATTTTCGCGCCCTGCCCTCGCTTACGGAGGCAGCGAAAATGGTGGCCGGATAGGGAATCTTCGCTTACCGGTGAGTTTTCCCCCCATAGGAACGCATTAAACGGAGTTTAATGCGTTCCTATGGGGTTTTACGTTCCCTATAGCGATGTTTCCGGGGCACCACTGTATTTGCTTTCTACATATAAGGCCTAAAAAGGGAGGAAAAAACTCAACTTCAGCTGCAAAGCCAAAGCTAATGAGCATATTTGCTACATCACACAATATGGCAGTCTCCACTGAATCCATGACAATGAGCAAGGCCAAATGAACTGACTAGGCATCCTTCAGTCTCGAGACACTATGGTAACGTGCTCTGTATGGAGGACTTGAAACAGCATCTAGTGTGGCTCAGAAGGCCAATTGGAGAGTGACAATTCCTTCCACACTGAAGACAAATACAATCTGTACCCTGTGCAGCTCCAAAATTTTGCTGGTTTTGGGACAGCCTCTTTGCCTCAGCCTGCTGAACAAGTGTCTCTTCAAATTGGGAGAGGCCATGTTGCACCGCCTGCCTCCAGGCTAAATGCCTCGGATGTCAAGGTTTCCCGTTGAAGTCCATTCCCAAGGCCTTCAGATCCTACTTGCAGATATCCTTGTATCGCAGCTGTGGTCTCCCTCTGGGGCGATTTCCCTGCACTAATTCTCCATACAGGAGATCTTCAATGAATTGGGGTATTCGTATTACTGTCCTGAAATCTCCAAAAGGGTTCCCTTTACCTCATCATTTCCAAACAGAAAACAGTGCCTGTGTATCCACATTCTACATTAATGAACAGCTCAAATAAGCCCGAGGGCCTCATCTACACTTCTGAACCACACTGCTAAATTAGAGAAAATGTCATGTTTTCAACCCAAGTATATGCATTCTGTAATTTTATTTTATGAAATTTGAGTAAAGTATATATACATGAACTTTCCATTTAGGAATATGCACCAATATTTTTTCCCTGATGTAGACTACATAGAAAATTAGTTTGTAGAAGACAGACTAAGTTTATAGGCTTAATCCAGAGCTAAATGGGAGTACCAGAATTCCTGGTACCAGTGGTTGCTCTCACAACCTAATATAATGGTCCACAGACCATCAGGGGAGCTTGTAAAAGGTAGAAGTACAACCAGTTCCTCTCTATGCAACCTTGTGAAAATTACAAAAGCTACATTTTTGTTACTGTTTTATTGTGAAACAAAATACTTTGTCGGCCTATTACTTTCTGTTGTCTACAGTGACCAAAGTAGATGCCATTGTTTTTGTCACAAGTAGTTCATATTCAGCTTCAATGTTAACAAATCAGGATTATGATTTAGGACATGCAAAGACAACATTCCTCTCTGCTATACATTTGAGAGCTGGCTGGAGAGCTCACAATTAGGTATCTGGCTGTAGAGCCAGAGGTTGGGTGTCCTTGGGCAACCTGCACAGACCCAGAATGCATTCAGAAGATACTGGTAAACCACTTCTGAGAACTCTTTACCTAGAAAACCCTGAAAAAGGGTCACCATAAGTCAGAAGTGATTTGACAACACAAAGATTTATGAATAGGAGAGTTAACTATGGCTGCTCCTTGAGGTAAAAATAAAGTCTGGTTTTATGGAATCCTATCTCTCGTTACAGGTCCTACTCAAGTTGTCTCTGAAGTAACTTCTGCTGAAATTAACAGTCTTCTTCTTAAGACTACAAAGCCATATACATTAATTTAGGAGAAAAACATTGTTACACACAATGGTTTTCTTCTGAGTGAACATACATATATGTTTAGAAAAGTAGGGCTGCAGCATGAATGTATGCATGTTTATAAGTTAAATGCATGTTCATATGCTGAAACAGATTATAGGGGTGTATACTGTTTCATGTTTTTGGATCTGTTCTCAAAATTGTCCAAATATTCCCGGAATTTTAGCCCAGACACCCAAAGCAGCACAGATGTAACCTTCTCTCTTCCCCCAAGGGCTTTCAAATGATTTAACAGCACCATTGGCTCCTCCTACCTTCCCGTTTCTCTGTAGATTTGTTTGTTTGTTTTTAAAAGAAACTCTTCCCTTTTTGCAACTCAGAAGTTGCCTATAGGCAAAGTGTTATGGCAGTCTAAGGTAAGGTACAGCAGGCATTTTCTTAAAAAAAAGATTCATCTTTATATAGTGTACATATAATGGCCAAAATCCTCCATAGCTAAGTAAATGCTATAGCTTTTGGAATCAAACTGTCTGAAATTAAGAAATCGCCATAAAAACTATCAGTTGCATGCTGAGTCACACAACTCAGTATGCAACAGAAAATGGCCCAAATCCTTTTGCTTAGTGTAGTAAATACCAACTACAGTAAGCCCATTGAACCAGTAGTGATTCCTCTCCATAAATTCCACTGATTCAATGGACCCTCTTTGGTTGTGACTTACTCTGCTAAATAAGTTGCAACTAGAGTAGGGCTACTGAACCAATGAAACCTATTCAATGCGCCTACTCTGGTTGTGTCCTGAGGCTAGATGCCCAGTTTTGGTGGTGGCCAAGAGAGCCTTTGCACAGTGAAAAATAGTATGTTAACTGTGCCTGTTCCTGGAGAAGTCTGACCTGGTCACAGGTTGGAGGAATGACACATGCCTTAGTCACATCCTGACTTGATTACTGTAATGCAGTCTACATGGGCCGTTTACATAGAAAGTGCTTCAAAATGTCTACATAGAAAGTGCTTAAAAATGTCAGCAGGTCCAAAACAGGTTGCTAACTGGGACTGGTTGCATGGATCACCTAAACCGTTACAGCAGCTCCACATGATACTGATGTACTTCCAGGCACAATTCAAAGGATTAACCCATATGCCATAAACAGCTTGGGTCTAAGCAATCTCAAAAACGCTTTCGACCTTTATGAGTGTGCCTGGGCATTAAGATCATTTTAGTCCCACCACCCTCACGGCTGTACTTGGTAGGAACACAGGAGAAGGCCTTCTGTCACTGTTCCCAGACTCTGGAACTTCCTTGTATAGGAAGCTAGGCTGACCTCATCTTTGCTGTTCAACTACAAGCAAGTGAAGACCATTCTCTTTAGGCAAGCTTTTGCTTAACAATTATCTAGGAGACAAAAAACAGAATGGTTTATATTTTGTTGATTCTAAATCTGTTTTTTTATAATGCTTTTACCTACATTTAACATAATGTTACTAATTTTTGATTGATCCTGTAATAATTTACTGTTTTTAGCTTTTAATATTGTGTTTTTAATGATGTAAGCCACCTTGGGTCTTTTTTTAAAGGAGAAAGATGGGGTAAAAATATCATAAATAAATACATATTGCACTGAGCAACACGATTTTAGCTAATGTCTATGATGATTTCTTGACTAAGGCAATTTGCTTCCCAAAGTTATGCTGTTTCCATTATGCCAGTATAACTAAGCAACAGGATTTGGGCCAATAATTTCTCAAACAACCACCTACAATAAAGAAATTAAAGGAACAAATAAGTTATTTTGTGATACACAATTAGCTTTATTAATCTACTAATTCACACTAATAATCTAAAATTACATTCAAACTTCATTTTAAAGAGTCATAATGAGTAAAAGTAACATCTTTTTTCATTTTTATGGTGTAAATATTTGTACAATTTTGCATCTAAATAACATTTACATGCAACTAGCCTATTTTCACTTCAGTCTATACCACTTCTAAATTATTAATCAATGCCTTCCATGCTTAAAAGTAATTATACACTCTAACTTTGCATTTCAATAATTTAGATGAGCAATTAAACTTACATTGCAACAAACACACTTAATTATGTATAAGAATTCTGATGCCAGTTTTCTTAAATTTTAAGTGTCGCATGCTGAAATTTAATTCTCATATTTTAGTACTTTCTGTACAAATATTGTGTGTTGCCGTTATTTTTCTATATTGAAAATATGCCTTTCAAAAGCTAGAACAAATTGATTTTATTAAGACAACAAAATTATTGAAATACGAAACTACGTAATCATATATGACTTTTCAATAACACCTAATCTAGGTGCTAATATATGTTACAAGTGCTTCAAGAGGTTTCAGCAGAATGTAAATTTCACAAATTTTCCATTGGTGTTCTAATTGTTAAGATATATATATATATGAATAGGTTTTAAGTTGTCTAGCCCTGTGAATTTATTCTTTCATCAAAACACCCTAAACACCAATTCTTTATACATAGTTACAGCTTGCTTTCACCATTTCTCATAGAACTACAGAGCCATGAATCTTCCAGGTTGTAGATTTTTTAGAAATACCCATCCTTAATATTTGCTAACAGCTTTGAAAACCATTTTATGCTACTTATAAGACATATTTTGAATTCCACACCAAGAATGTGACAAGTTGCAGATGCATTGTGAATGCATAATTAGATTCACACACAATGAATGGAGTACCAAGTATTTCAAAACCCGTAATTTGCACATCATTTTCCTGAACTGGGCCTTTATATTCCAGTAGTGTTTTTCCTAGTAAAATAATTAATACATTGCATACAGTATTTTTATTTCTTAAATCTATTTACTTAAAATATCTAGACTTCAGAATGTAGGTTTTAAAAGATTTTTAAGCAGTTCACACCATTATCTCTCTGTATGTTTACATTTCAGAAACAACTTACCTGGTATAGAACATCTCTTTACACTAGTGCAGATATTTTCCTTAATGATGTGATTAAAATGGTGGTTTGGGGTTTTTGCTGTGTCCCTTTTTTCCTTTGTCATATTATTTGGAGTTGGAGTTTTTTTATTTTGAGGCATTAGAGACAGCATGTGGTCAGTACTTGCAGTAATCTTATTAATTTCAGTCACTCTTTTCCTCTTCCTGCTGTATGCTGAGTCCACCTTATTAGATTCTTCTAACACTGCCTCTGGCTTACTTTCTGAAAAACTACTTTTATAAACCACTTCATTAGGAAACTGCAACTCCTGTATACATGAAGAAGGAAGACTAACTCTTGTTTTTGTTTTATTAACATTAGAAGGTGAAAAATAATCTTCAAAGGATGAATCTTGCTGTTTAGTAGGCTCAACTGGTGTGAGGATTGCTTGCAAAAACTTATTTTGAGAATCTGTCTTACATAATGCTGAGGTGCTCCGTCTAAGACTTAATCTCTTTCTGGACTTCTTATGTTCTTTAGAAGCAGACTGAAGAATAGTTACTGGAGAAGGAGTTAGATGAATTGAAGAGACATTGATTAGTGAATTTATATGGTTGTTGCTGGTATCTTCAACAACACCTAAACCTATCAATTTTTCTGAAGAAACACTACAGTTTAAACTGTTTTCGTGAGAAAGACTATTTCCAGTTTGAGTTGTAAGCAAATCATTCATTGTATTGTGCTTTTTCACATATAGCATTTCAGTTTTTGTCCTTTTGTCAAAAAAGTCACTTTCCATGCTGTTTGGTAAAATTAATGTTTTTCTAAAATGTCTGCCACTAAGTTGTTGTGGACATTTATGCTTGAAGTCACCTGACGAAACTGGAGAGTTCCATAATGGACCTACGGAAACATCTGTAGTACTTAAAGCTTCAGTAATACATTTGGTAAATTCCTTTCCATGAGTCTTGGTTTCAGAATTTCCCAACACATTAGCAAAACTGGTGTTTAAGGGGTCACTGTGCTCTCCTACACAGCAAACAAACAAAAACAATAATAAGAACAACTTTTTTAACAGTAATCCAAGAAGTTTAAGACAAGAATAGCTACTAAAGTAATCAATCTTATATCCAATATTACTTGTTCAACAGATACATCATTTTCTATTAACTGAGTTGTCTATCAGATTTCATTTTGTGAGAAAAAAATAGTATGCATGAGCCACATCATGAGTCAAATGCACAGCTTTTCATTGTATGGACCCATGATAAAACAGATTGGCTGAAATTCGCAGTTATACCACATAAAGCTGATTATCACCATCAGCCATAGCAGTTTTTCAGAAATAAAACATTTCTGATTTCTTCACCCAAGGCTCCTATGGAATCTCATTCATCCTGAAGAAGCCGTTAGGAACTGCAGGACAAAGTCTTTAATTTCTAAAATCAGCACTGCTCTCATGACTTTACCAGTGGCAGCAATTTTCATGAATTAAAGACTTTCCCCATCCTTGTCCTGTGGCCCACAATGGCTTCCCGATGACAAAGGGGATTCCATGGGAGCCTCGGAACCTTTGGAGGGCGGGGGTAGATCAGGAATGCGGCGTTTTCAAAAAAAAAAGTTGGGTTGATGACATCATCAGCCTGTGCAGTCTAACTTATAGAACAGGATATCAGTCAATATGCTTTTCCTGCAAAGAAGTGGTCACTGTATAGGAATGAAACTTTATTTTAAATATCCATCAATGGCTCACTGTGGTGGATCAAGATGACCTTGGTAAAGGCACCACCCTCTGGAGCAACTAAAATATGTAATACCTCTTCATATACTTGACAAGGCTTATCATATCTCTTTTCTAGGTTAAGCGTGCCTAAGTCCCTCAGCAGTTCTTTACAGGACATGGTTTCCAGAGCTTTCGCCATCTTTGTCATCTAGATATATTCCAGTGTGAAGTGAAAAACTTGAATTAAGCCAGCAACAGGGGTAAATTTTTCTGACTCTTCTTACAGCTGTGATAAAGGAAGGAAAACACAACAAGCCCTTTCCTCATGAAAATAGCACTATACTAGGTATCTGTCTACAGAGCCAGAGGTTGGGATTCCCCCCCCCATGCCTTCCAGGGAAAAAGAGCAAACCTGTGTGGCTTTGCACATGCTATACACTCCCAGGGCATCCCCAGAAGAAGAGAAGATTGAACCACTTTGGAATACTCTCTAGCTGGAAAACCCTGACAACGGATGCCATAAGCAAGAATTGACTTTATGGCACATGATTATTATTAGAGTTTATCACTACATATGAGTAAAGCACTGGTCGTCTTCAGTTTATGAAAGCAAAAGCAGCAACAGAACTGATTATCACACATTGTATTTTTTTGTGTGTACACTGAATTTTTAATGTATGCTTAATTTACCCTCAAGCCTTTCATAGCATTTTATCACAGAGGTGTTTACAACAAACTCCAAACTCTAACGGTAAAAATCTAAGGCAGAAAAAAAAAGTTAAGGCTGAGTTGGCAAAATTTCCAAGGAAAGTGGCATCTAATCTTTAGAACTAAAGTCACTGAGAGGATAACTTTCCTTTTATTTAAAAAAAATCTAAACTTTTGCTTCTGCTTCAAGTGCATCTCCTGTTGCTCTGAGTAACCAGCCATATTCTTTTGACAAATACCCCCTTGGAACAATAGCACACCATAACCGTTTCATTCCTAGGAACATTCTTGAACTAAACAATGGCTGCCCCATGGAGACCCATGGACCTGTTTTACAGGTTGAAAAGGCAGGACAGAAATCAATTAATAAAAGCAAATAAATTCAAGTGTTCTCAATACAGCACAGATGGGCAAAGTGTGGCCTATGGGCCATATGCAGCCTCTCAGGAAACTCATATCTTAAAATTAAAAAAAAAATACCTTGCAATTTAATTACTTAATTTGCCAATAAGTTATCATGTGCCTTGTAGGAAGTGTAGTGGAGTAATTTTGCTGTTCTGGGCTTCAAAAGCACCCCCTTTCCATTACCTGAGGACACTGCACAAGTTGAATTAGTAAAGACAGGAATTTGTTCATGCACTGCTGTAACAGACGTGGAGTCAGCCTCTTGAGACATCTGTGAAGCTAAAAATGGACATTATAAAGTTTTTATTGCATAGACAAGGCAGGAAGACAACTTCATTTGAGCATTTAAATATGAGATGAAGAATCTGCGGACCTCCGTATGTAGATGGACTCCAACTCCAAGCAGTTTCAGACAGCACCACCAATAAACAGCGGTTGTGATATTTTAACAATGTATGGAGGGCCATAGGTTCTGTACACCTACTTTTAAATACATATGTACTGTAGTTTAGATAATGTCCAGGATAGAACACCTGGAACACTCATAGGAAAGAAATGTACCTGACCTTTCTATGCAAGCAATGCTGTATAAGCATTTTATGGATTCTAATTTCCTTTAAATTTTTATGTCGTAAGGATCTTTTATGTCATACATCCTTGTGAAGAAACTGGTATGAGTAAAAGTGTTCTTAAATCTATTTTCCAATCACATAAATACTAAGGAAACTACATGACTAATAGACTGTATATCCAGCACAATAAAGCAGACAGAGTAGCTGAACTCAGGAGATGCGAGTTCAAATCCCCGCTCAGCTATGGAAACTAACTGGGGTGGGAGAGTGAGGGAACTGGTAAAACCACTCCTTAAATATCTCACTTACTCTGAAAGCTCTATAGGGTTGTTATAGGTTGGTTCCAACTTGACAGCAAATAACATGACATATGAACAGAAATGAAACCCCCTTGCAGGTTAAATAATTGCAGCCAGTGGTCTAAACAAACTTTTGCCAACTCTGAGCAAAAGTTATAGGTTGTCATGGACCTGTCTTTCCAGAGCAACACAACAGGTATAAAGCATGGCTAATGAACCAAGTTCAACTTTATTGCAAATACAATTCTAAAAACTTAGAATAATTTGTACCATTAAAATATTAAATATATTTACACAATGAAATACTGACTATGTCTGCCAAAAATTAATGTCATGAAGAATACGAACAAAGGGGACAGGAAGCATCGTAAATGCTGAGACTGAGAAAGGAATCGGGAAATTTGGAAAATACAGAATAGTGAAGAATCAAGTATACATTTTTGAGAAGAACTTGTAGCCACTAACAGCATTAAGATTACTACCAAAGATACAGTATATGAATAACTCTGCAATAACTAACAGCAACATTATAAGGGACCACATAGACTGTCTGGAATCCATCTAAATATTTATACCAGCTGGTGTGAAATGGTGTAAATCCTTAGTCTCTGAATCCCAGTTTCATAATTATTAAACTACAGAGCAAGGACAATCAACTAAGGTGCTTTTACACACTATAATTGAACAAAACTGGAAGAATAGAGAGAGGAATTGCATGTTTTACTCAGCGCTATGCCCAGACAGAAAAGGCAAAACTGATATGGTAGTAGCAACAGTCAGAAAGCTATCAAATTTGACTCCTTGAATCACAAGTTATATTAATAATCATACCAGTAGGGGAAAGATTTTCACGTTTCTCCTTCATGTCCTTTATTCTTCTCTCCATTGCACTGCACTGATACTTAATATTACTTGCGGGGCTATACATTAATGATCCATTGTCTTCAAACAATAAAACTGGTGTATCCATTTCTGAAAAGATGGTAAATTATTAGGAAAAACTGAAAAGTTACTAGGAGAATTCTCTAGTCCAACAAGAAACACAATAAAATGTTTCAGTGCATCCTCACCTTTTTTTCTTCCCAGAGAAAGATTCTTCATTCCCACCCCCAGAACCTTCACTGATACTGAATATACCATGGATACGAAGCATGCTAAGCTCTCACCAGACTTGTTTTTTGGTTGTGAGGATCACACCCTTAGGATTTTTTTTAGGCCTATTGTACCTAGGAAGACTTCCTGGTCCCCTAAGCATACATATCCAAACTGTTGTTTAATAGCCTGTTGTGGCTGTACTGGTGCTGCAATCTACTGCCTAAGCTTGCTCTGTGAAAGAGCCATTACACATGTAACCCATCTTGATCCAAAAAACCCTGAGAGGAAAAAAAAAACCTGTTTTTTTGTTTCATGCATCTCCTGCCTTAACTCTACCAAGATAGGATATGGGCAGCCAGGTTTATTGTTATAAACACATTATTTATATTAATGCTTTTCACTAATATTGGGGGATGAACAATTTTCTCAAGGTTAGGTGGGACTCATAAAAATATTTCTGTTGAACAAATGAATGTTCAAGTGGCTTACTTGTTCTCCCAAGAGGTTTTCAAAGTCCTCCATAGCTATACTCCCAAGTAAGTAAAAAACACTACTTGAAGCAAGAAGCTTTAAAGTGAAAAGGGAGAATGTTTTTCTAGAACCAGCTCAGTGGACAAAAAAATACACTCTCCCACTCAGAAAGTGATGAATTTCATGTATCTCCCTAAAGTTGCTGACATTTCACCACTTCTATCTTAGTGAAGGATGACTATCTGGCAAAGATGCTGCTCAGACTTAACTTGCATGCCTTCTATAATTTAGCAGGATAGGGTTATTGTATTTCTGTCTGGAAGGAAAATGGACATGGAAGCTAAATGTTTGATGGGATGCCACATAACAAGCCCCATGGTGCATTGGTTAAAACTGCAGTATTGTAGTCAAGCCTCTCCTCATGACTGAATTCAATTCCAACAGGTTCAGGTACCTGGCTCAAGATTCACTTAGCCTTCCAAGGACAATAAAATGAGTATGCAGCTCATAGGGGAGCAAAGTGCTGTTTGCATAATTATGTTGTAAACCTCTCAGAGAGTGCTCCAAGATAATATGTTGTTGTTTAAACAGCAAACAAACAGTCTTATTATATATACATGGGGACCTGTCTCTAAACATAAAATATCCTGCAGTAGTGTGCAAGTTGAAAACAGAAGGGTTTTAATTTGTCGAGGAGCATGGGGCAAGGCTGAAGGGGCTCTGTATTGTTTTAGGAAAATATTGGAAGGATGTGTTTCTGTACACAGGTGATAAATATATGCTTTCTTCTGCCTCCAGGGAGAAATCCAACAGAAGAAAGCAATAACCAAAAGGTTCAGCCAGGCCAAAAATTAGGAGCTGATTTTACTAGTTGAAGATTAAGTCTCCCCCCTTTCAAAAGAAAATGAAAGACTGTGCTCAGTCCCTAATCCTTCCCTCTTTTAAACCTCTAGAGGTAAAGGGAAGGTCATCAGTATGAGAGATTTGGGAAGCGTGCAGAAAAGAAAGGCTGAATGCACTCTGACTATCCCTTTACGCCCTTTCCCTTTCTCTCTACAAAGAATCAATTTATGGGAAGAAGGAAAGATGAAGGGACTAAGGAATGAAGAGACACTTTTGCCAACTTCTCTGACCATAGTTCTTGTTCTACTAATGCCACAGACGTTCCCACTTGTTGATGTGAACTGGAAAAATAATTAATGCTTTATTTTAGGATTACTCGCTAGCTTCACAATATACCAGCAGTCTTCAGTGCAATGGCTAAAAGAGATTAACAATATGAAGAGATCATATACTTGCCTATTGTTGCCTTTTGTACTTGTAACTCTTTAGCCATAATTTCCAGTCTTCTTTGTAGTCTCCTGTCATTTTCTGGAGTTTTTTCCATAAAATCTTTCGGCTGCATGCATTTGTGCTTCAAAACAAAAAAGCTTCACAACACTGATTCACAACAGCCTAGAAATCACTCTAATTCTTCAGGTTCTTTAAAATAATTGTTTGTGTACATCTAGCTCTGCAGTTCTAAGATGATGATAATGATTACATATACATTTACTCATATACATCTGTTTTCATTAATGTCTTAGTTGCAAGCACTGATCTTCCTCAGAAATGAGAAAAAATAAGATCCGCTATATTATTTCAAATGTCTTCACATATACTTACCACCTTCAGTCGAGGAAAGAAGCCACTTTCAACAAAGATTCCAAGAAGGAGCGATAAATCTAACTTAAGTAGACTCCATTTGGAAAGTCAAACCCTATTTTAGGAGCTTATAAAGCTCAGTTCAAACTGGCACACAGGGCATAAAGCTACAATCCTACTGATTATGCTGGACAAGTTATAACACTGGGCCTACTCTCCACAACTCTCTGCAAGTAATCAAATCTCTAGAAATCAAGATCTGCCCCATCTTCCTGGTATGTATGTATGTATATGTATGTATGTATATGCACTAGGAGAATGTTCCATTCTTGAAAAGGAGTCAAACTCAACAGACTGCACACAGATATCTGAGAAAAGGAAACAAACTGGAAATTCCAGAGAGATAAAATATAGGCCGTATCTGGCTACACTGCCACGAAATGTAATTTGATTGTGTAGGAAACATCTTCAGTGCCACCAAATGCTTGTAGCAGGGTAATGATTTCCGTGGAGAAGGCAGTCATTTTTCAGAGCTGGTAGCAACCTTATGGCTATGATGATCCATAATTAACATACTTAACTCTTAAAATTTTAATACAATGGTTATACAGTATAAAGATTGCTGTAATGCGTTTTCGTTCACTAAAAATGGGTTTCATCATAAAAGTATTTCTCCCCATAGTGGTCAACATTTTAAAAACATGAAATGGGGATGGGAGAGTGGTACAGGCTCCTAAAAAAAAGCTTTGAGAGACAATGCTTACTTTAAAATAAATAATGGACAGCTGGGCCAGAATTTGCCACAAAAATTATCCAGAGGGCTTCGAGTGGCCCCCAGGCCAAAGTTTGCCCATTTGTAGCCTGCAGGTTCAAGATAAAGGTCTTTTTGGAGTGATAGTATCTTTTTCTTTTTTTACTTTTCCAAGTATTTGTCTTTTAAAAATTCATTTCAATACATACATCCATGTATTTCTGTACCCTTCCCTCCCACCCTCCTTTCCCCATTCCCGCAACAGAGTCATATCCAAATTCTTATGATTCCTGAGAATATTATAATCATCTTCTAAATATATTATAAAACTGAGTAAGTTCACTATGAACTGATAGTATCTAATTATTACCAAATTTGAACCCACTCCTTTTTAAAACCAGAAAACCATCTGAGGATGCATGACTCAAAGGAGAGCAGAACCCCTCTCTGAATTTTAGGACAGTCAGAGATACGCTAGCATCTCTTCTACCTGTAGCAAAAGTTACGCTCTCACAAAACTATAGAGGACCTGATACAATTAACTGAGAAACATTTGTAACCAGGGATTACTTACAGGATCATTAGAAATTTCAAGTTATACACATACCTTTTTAATAAAATGAGGTAACCCTTCAATAGCATTTTTTGCAGGATAAACTGACTCATCCACATGTGCTCCAACTTCTCGACATCTGAGCAGAACAAATTTAAGCAATTGATGCATTTCTCTGGTACAAAATCAGATTTACAAGAGCTGACCATCATGTTAACTACCTAACTATAGTATTGCAACATAATTGTACTGATAGCCCAGGCTACCTAGCTTTAGGCTAGTTCTCATGTATTCTTTCCTGCATGTCCAAAATCTCTAAGCAGCACAACTTGTACAGCAACTCAGGTCATCAAATGAACCATTTGCTTGCTTATAACAGTCACATTTAAAATGCTACAGCTTCTATTTTTATTCATTCAAATTAAGATAGAGCACAAAACCACAAGTAATTTAGACATTAGACAGGAAGGGAAAAGAGAATCTTTAAGGACAGGGTCACATTCCTTAGTTTTGTTGGCAGCCAAAGTCCAAGACAAAACCTTCTGACACATCTTAAAGGTCATTTAGGTCAGTCACTGTGTTTTACATTCTCGCCCTCAACTTTGTGAAAGCAGAACTATTGGAATTTCAGTACGAGAGAACATAGATTAAACCATTCCTAAGTATGACATTTTTCTGGCCGAATTCCTCAGTTCTGAAGACTCAGGAACACAGAAAAACTGAGCTGGCTCCAACAGCTGCTCACTAGGATGGCTGTAATCTATAAAGATGCCAAGAAGTTCTAAGCCTCTACATCATGCCTGATCTAGTCAAATCAATCAGAATAAAACTACCACACATGTGGTAGGTAGTGTTAAGAAGCCAAAAAAACATATTTGCAATGTGGTCTGTAAAGAACAGATGTTTATTTCCTTTTCTGTTTCTTCCCCAGGATAGTAATTTTATAGATTATGGGCTTCTTATATATAGGCCACAATGATCCATACAATTATGAAATGTTAATTTCTGTGTAATGAATAATATGACTCTTGCAAATATTTTAAGAACATAAAAGGGTATAAATGTAACAGAAATGCAATTCGAGGGGATGCCAGAGTTGAAAATAAAGAACTGGAAAAACTACCAAAATATAGAAATCTGGTAATTGAAACATCTTGTTTCTGAACAAGGTTCCCTCTAAGGTACGTGTCTGAGCCCATGTGTGACTCTGCCACCCCACCCGCACGCTGAAGTCTTCCTCCTCCTCCACATATTGAAAGCGAATATTTTTGGCTCATTTGGTTCCAATACTGACAGAACCTCAGCTAAGGAGAGTAGGAAAAGCTGTACTGGGATACAATCTCAAAAATGATAGAATGATTTCAATATGAATCCAAGGTAGACCTTTCAACATCTCAGTAATCCAAGTTTATGCATCAACCACTGATGCTGAAGAAACTTACAACACCTCCTAGAATTGAAACCAAAGAAAGATGCTCTTGTCATTATAGGGGACTACAATGCTAAAGTAGGGAGTGAAGAGATAAAAAGAACAACAGGTAAGTTTGGCCTTGGATTCAAAACGAAGCAGGGCAAAGGCTAATAGAGTTTTGTCAAGAGAACAAGCTGGTCATCACAAGCACTCTTTTCCAACAAGACAAGAGACAACTTTACACATGGACATCACCAGATGGGCAATACTAAAATCAGATTGATTATACTGTCTGCAGCCAATGATGGAGAAGCTGTATACAGTCAGCAAAAACAAGACCTGGAGCTGATTATGGCTCTGATCATCAGCTTCTTATAGCAAAACTCAAGCTTAAACTGAAGAAAGTAGGAAAAAACACTGGGCTAATCAGGTATAATCTAAACCAAATCCCTTATGAATACTCAGTGGAAGTGAAGAACAGATTTAAGGAACTCAGTTTCGCAGACAGAATGCCTGAAGAACTATGGATGGAGGCTCAAAACACTGTACAGCAGGCAGCAATAAAAACCAACCCAAAGGATAGAAAATACAAGAAAGCAAAGTGGCTGTCCAACAAGGCCTTACAAATAGCAGAGAAGAGGAAACAAAATGCAAGGGAGATAGGGAAAATTACAGAAAATTGAATGCAGACTTCCAAAGAATAGCAAGGAGAGACAAGAGGGCCTTCCTAAATGAACAGTGCAAAGATATAAAGGAAAATAGTAGAAAGGGAAAAACCAGAGATCTGTTCAAGAAAATTGGAGATATTAAAGGAACATTTTGTGCAAAGAAGGACATGATAAAGGACAAAAATGGTAGGGACCTAACAGAAGCAGAAGACATCAAGAAAAGGTGCCAAGAATACACAGAGGAATTATACCAGAAAGATCT